TCAGCAGAGTGATCTGGGACAGAGTGAATGAGGATGTAAGAAGTGAGGGGGTCAGAGAGCACAGGGGGCAGGTCTGGGGGCCATGAGAGGGACGCAGGCTTCTCCTGGGAATGAGATGGGCACTCAGGAGGGTGTAAGTAGGGCAGTGATGTGACCTGGTTTGCGTTTTGAAAGGACCACCAGGTAGAAGTATGCTGTGGGAGAAGGCTGGCTGGCAAGCTACTGCAATGGTCCTAGCATAATAAATTGGGGGCCATGGACAGGCGGGCAGGGGTCTCTTGGTTTCTGCTGACAGAATATGGAGCATGACGCTGAGATTTGGAGACTTTATCTGAGCTGAGGAAGATGTAGAGGGAACAGGGTGGGCGCTGAGAAGGGGCTAAATGATGGGGTGGGAAAACCGTGCTTTCATGGCCTGAGTTTGGGCCTGGGGCCCAGTGGGGTCTAGTCGGTGATCTTGGGTGTATCCCTGGCCTGAGCCTGGTGCTCAGGGTCAGAGGACAGCAGACCACAGCTATGACGTCAGAGTGGCCCTCCTCCTGTCATGGTCAGTGGAGAGAGGGTCTAGACTGATGTGGGGATGTGAGGATGCAGCCAGTGCCCTCCGCTTTGTGTGGTTTCTCTCAGTTGCACCCATTACCCTAAAAACCAGTGCTCAGCATCACCTGCGTGTGCTGGAGGGCACAGGGGGCAGAGGTCATAGGTCACTGTGACACCCCCCTCAGGCAGCAGCTTGCGAGGGCAGAGGCAGGGGCAGAGCCTATGGGGTGGGGCAAAAAATGGTATTCTATGGAGACGAAGAACCCAGAAGTCCCAGGGGTGGTTGTGGGAGGGGCAGGTCCACCTGAAACCTACTCAGGGGCCGTGAGGTCCCAGGGGGCAGTGTCTTCTCTGGCAGACTCAGTCTTTCTGGTGTCCAGCAGGGCCTGATGCCCGAGGCAGTGGCCCGCTGCAGCCTCGCCACCCCAGGTGTGGCCAGCACATGGCTAGGCCCTGTAATGGGGGTGGGCACGGGCCCTGCTCCCGCCAATCAGAATTCACTCATCAGACCCTGTGTCCTGCCCCATGGTGGGGGCTTCTCACAGACCATATGTTGGGGAGGGGTGACAGGGTGGACTGCCCACCCAGGGACCCTGAAGCCACCCTAAGCTGCCTCCCAAGTTGGGGTCCCCCCCCCGCGAGCCCCAGGCCTTGGTGTCCCCTGTCTCCTGCACACCTTTGGCCAGTGCGGCCGAGACAGCCCCAGGCCCGCACGAGGCCAGGGCCATCAGTGGGTCCAGAGCTGGGATCGAGGCCCAGCAGGTTCTGCAAAAATTTCCCTTGAAGGACTCTTTTTTAAGATTTTCTTTTGAAAACAAATTCATAACCACATCAAACAGGAATCCCGTCGCCTTGGGTTTAATCACCAGCCGCCCGGGGCTCTCTTAACTGCCTGTTATTCTAATTGCTTTTTTCTCTTCTGAGGCCGCAAGTCATCTTATGGTTATTAATTCGGTGAGTTGAGGAGGGAACAAGGGAGCTTTTGTTGGCCTTGCCCTTTCAGTCACTATCAAACTGCAAATAATGGCGAGATCCAAGATCCCCAAAACTGCCGCGCCCCAGCGGCACCCGGGGGAGCACCGGCCGGGTCCCCGGAGCAGGCACTGCCCTCCCCCGGGCAGCCGCCCGGACGGACATGCTTCCCGGTGGCCAGGGTCTGGCTAAGGCCACGCCCTCCCTCTGGCCGACTGAAGGGCTTGCTGGCATCCCCAGCAAATCCGAAGCAAGATAACCGTGCCCTGCACTCAGGGCGGAGGACAACACAGGGTGAGGCGACCCAAGGACTGTCCCTGGGAAGTGGTAGAGCCCAGCCCTCCGCTCTGGAGGAGAACGTAGCAGGCGTGAGTCACACTCAGAGCCAGCACGGGCTCCTACAACGGACCATCTTGCTCCATCCCCAAGACAACCCTCTAAGGGAGGAGAGGACTTCCCCCCTGCCCCGCTGAGAAACTGAGGCCCAGAGGGGAAAGCCCATCGGCCATGGGGGTCTGACATGGCCACCCAGACCCACCTGACCCAGCTCACCCCGCACCGTGGGGCTACAGGATCAGTCGTTGAGAAGGAGGGGGGCCCACGTGTGCTGGGCAGAGGCCAGGACCAGGCCCGGGGGCGGGGCGGTGCAGGGCACGCTCAGGGAGCCCAGCGTCAGCGGTGAGCAGCCGGCGGCCCTGGGTGGTGTGTGGCACCGGGTCAGCCACAGGCTCCAGGAGGCTTGGGGGCTGGGGGCTGGGAGGGCGCCGCAGGGCCTGGCCCACCCAGCGGTCACCACGCCCTGAAGCTGGGCCAGGGATGGAGAGAGGCCCTGTCCAGCAGGCTTGGGGCTGGGCAGGGGGAGGACCCTGCAGGGGTCCAGGAGGGCCCAAGAGGCCCCTGAGGGCAGCCGGAGGACCAGGAGGACTCGGCGAGCGGCTGGAAGGCTTTGGCAGGAGTCTGGTCGGTCAGCCGGCTTCTCCACTTGCCCCCTCTCTCGTCTCATTAGTGGTGGCATTGAACCCTCCTCCCTAGACCTCCTCTCCTGTGCAAGGAGGAGGAGGCATGAGGCCCAGGCATCAGGCCAGCTCTGGGACTCTGGCCCAGATCCTAGCTCACCCCCGGCTCCCCCGCCACCTCCAGCAGTCTGGCTAATGGGGGCACGTCCCCTGGGACCAGGAAACCCAGTGCGCCCCTCAGAGCTCCATCTGCCATGAGCAGCCTCCAAGGGGCCGAGCTGGGCTTGGAACTGAGCAGGGCCAGGGCTGGCACCCACGCAGGCAGCTTCAGAAACGCCAGAGCACGAGCTCGGCCTGGGGCCAGCCCCCTGGCTGCTCCCCAGCAGGGGCTGCGCCCCCTCACCTGAGCGCTCCCAGCCCTGGGACGAGCCCTTTCTCCAGCCATGCCCCACGCACCCCCCCCCATTTCAGTCATTCTTCCACTTCCTTCTTCCCCAAGAACACCCTATAAAGGCCTCCATACCCACTTGTACTTCTGGGGGCTTCAACAGATGTTCAAGTGCCGTAAAGTGAAAATTTATGAAACCACAGATTTTCTTCTGTAACATATTTGGTGCTTTAATTGATGCCAAACCAATCAATACCCATGCTGGGGCCAGCACAGCTCAGCAACGCAAGCCTTGCGGGACCAGCCTCATTCAAGGCTCGTTCAAGGCTGCCAGGCGTGCGGTCTCCCACGGGCCTCCCAGGGCGCAAGCCAGCAGTGGGACTGAGCAGGCCGGCAGCAGGGCCCTGGGGGCCTTGGGCCAGCCTCTGGGACGGGGTTTGGATGTGATGTTGTGCAAGTCCCCTCCATGTCCCCTCCACCCCTGTTCTCTCTGGAAGATGGGCCTTACCATCTAAGCTCAGCTTGGACCTCCTGCTCACGCCCCCTCCCGAGGTGACTGCTTCAGCCCTCCTGGGCCACTCTCCTATCCCCAGCTTGGAACCTACAGGTGGGGGCTGCAGGACCCCGAATGAGGCCCTTCTCCTGGGGCCTCAGGGCCTGTGTCTGTGGGGTGGCCTCAGTGGAGGAACCAGGGTGTCTGGCAGGCACCTGGGGGAGTGCAGGGGTGAGGGTGCTGAGTGAGGGGCCCAGGCCCCACCTCCACCAAACCAGAGAGGCTCCACACCCTTCCCTTTATAGCCCCAGCTCCCAGATCAGATCTGTCTGGGAAGAGATTAGACCCCTCTGGCCTGGGCGATGGGGCCTCAGACATGCAGCTGTCCCTGTCCCTGGGGGAAGCTCAGGCCCCACCTGGTCAGAGGAGGCAGAGCGGGCAGGGGGCCTGGGAGGCCCTGGAAGACAGCACAGCCCCTGTGCCAGGCTGTGGTGGTGGGTCACCAGCGCCTCCTCCTCTGGAGAAGGACAGCCCCCATCATGCCCCACCTGCCGCTGGGTCTCAGGTTAGGGGACCCTCACCCGTACCTCAACTCAGGAGAGACCCCCCCCATCTTATCCCAGCCTTGCCTGTCCCCTCTGACTCAGTGTCCACTGCGGGAGAAGGGCTGTGACTGCCTCCCCACCCCTGAACCGTGGCCCGGGCTGCCTGGGGATCCAGCTCTGCGGGATTTGTGGCCTCCTCCCCAGGCCAACCAGCACCCAGCTCCATCCGGTCCTAGGGCAGAGATATCGGAGCCCTCAGTGGGGCCCAGAGAGGTCTAGGGGCCGTCTGGCACAGGGAGGCCCAGAGCACACACATCACGAACTGAGCTTGTCCAACTGGACAGCCAACCACAGCCAGCCCTGCCTGCTGTCCTCAGCCCCAGCGTTGACCCTTGGCCGAGCCACTCTCCCCTGACGAGCTCTTGCAGGTTGGCCCTTATCGGTGATGATCTGGCCACCTCCTCTCCCTCCCCCACGTTTCTAGTCTTTCCGGTGTTCCAGGTACCCAAGGAGGTCCTCTAACGGGGACCCTGGGGGAACCAACCCAAGGGCACTGCAGGCCCCAGATGAGCTGTGCCTCCCCCCAGACCCTGGCTCATGCCAGGACCTCTGCCTCTCCCCTGCCCCTGCTCTGAGGGCTCTGAAGCCCTCCTCCGACCCCAGGGCCCATTTCAGCCCCGTCCCCTCACTGCCATCCAGCAGCCTTGGCTGAGCACCTGCTGCCCGCCGCGCGTCCTGCCCCACCTCGTCCGCGGTGGGCCGCCCTGGTGCTCAGCATAGGAAAGGCCGTTGGTAGAAGCGTGGGGGGCAGTGGAGGGCAGCAGGCAGGGGAGCAGCCCTGCCTGGGACCATCAGCCCTTCCAGGAAGCTCAGCCTCCAGGTCTCAGAAGGGGGTTGCAGAGCGGGGACCCCACCCACACGTGTGCGCTCAAGTGCAGGCACGCAGGGCCATGGACATCGTGGACACACACATGTGTTCTATACACAGGCGAGACCAGGGCCTGGCCCCGCCTCTCCCCCCGCCCTCAAGAAGCCCAGACCCTGGGGCCATCTGCGCACTATGGCTGCCACCACCGCCCAGCTCCCCTCTGCTCCTGTCCCCGCAGGTGACGCAGCTGGACCAGAGGTTGGTGCTCATCACAGACCTGCTGCAGCAGCTGATCTCCCTGCACCACGGGGGCCCCCCCAGCAGCCGGCCCCCCAGCGAGGGCGGGGCCCAGGTAGCCCAGCCCTGCAGCAGTGGCTCCATCAACCCCCAGCTCTTCCTGCCCAGCAACGCGCTGCCCACCTATGAACAGCTGACCGTGCCCCGCAGGGGCCCTGACGAGGGATCCTGATGGGGGTTTGGGGCCCAAGCCTGAGAGGGGAGGCCCAGAGGAGCCCCCCCAGCCCATCCCACCTTCCACCCACCCACTGGGCCTTGGCCACCCCTCCAAGGCTCCAGACATCCGGTGGGCCACGTGGCCCTCCACCTGGGCTTGGGGGCTCACCCAGACTGCCTCTTCCCGGCCAGTGGGTACTAGGATTTGGCTGGGCGGTGGGGAGGGGCCCTCTTATCTCTGAGATCGTGGACCCCCACATCACTTGCATGATACTCGGGACACAGTGGCAGGGGGTCAGGCCGCACACCCCGGCACTTGGCCCACCCTGCGTGTGGCCGGTAAGCAGCATAGCTGTGTGCCGGCCCCAGGGACCTTCTGAGGGGAGACAGAGGGACGGCCAGGACAGGGTCTGTGGGGACTCCACCCTCAGCCTCTAGGACGCAGGGGAGGAGGCAGGCAGGGCAGGGCAGGCCCAGCCCACACTGCACAAAGGATGCCCACGAGCCAAAGCCCAGTCGAGGCCTGAGCACCGGTTCAGGGGCCCCGGGCGGGGGCTGGCTCCCTCCCTCTCTTTCCAGAGATACTGACTCGGGCCGGGAGCTGTTGGGGAGCTGCTCCTGAAGCCACAGCTTCCAATGAGGGGGACAGGCCCACCGCTGTCCCCAGAGAGCTTCACTTGGGTGGGCCGTCCTCCAGAGGGACGGGCATGCTCAAGTTCCTCACTTCGAACTGGCAGCTCCTCCTACCCATTCCGGAGAAAAGAGGAGGGTCCCCCAGCCCCTCTCTGTTCGCGGGCCCTGCCTCCAGCCCCCTGCCTGGTCTGATCAGCTGGGCAGACGCACAGGCTGGCACCTCTCCTCGCCAGCTGCTGAGCCGCAGGGGAGCAGAGGGTGTCGCCATCTCTGCACCGGACGGGGCTCCTCTTGGGCGCTACGTCTCACGGAAATCAGAATAATTTGTGGTGATTTGGAATCTGCGTGTTAATGAATTTCACGGTGTGATTTTGATTCTTAATCAATCGTGCAGGGTTTTGCCAATAAACGTGGAGTCACGAGATCGATCTTACACTGCTGTCACCTCTGTTTCTGGGGAGTGAGGACCACCTCGGGGGCCACCTATCCGTGGAGCTGCCACCCACCCCTCAGCGCCCCAGTGCCCCTCACCCCGTCTACACCCGCCCAGGCGAGAGGAAGAGGCCTGGAAGCCCCAACCCACTGGCCTGGGCATTCTGGGAGCGGGGTCCCCCAGTGACCCAGGAGCACATGGAGGCCAGGCCTTTCCTGTCCCCTCAGCCAAGGCAGGTCCCCAGCCCACCCTCTGAGCCTTCACTCTCGCTGTTGCCTTTGGGAACAAGGGAAGTTCTCCTGACCCTCTCCGTCTGTTGATCGCTCCCTTGGTCTACGGCCAGACTCAAAGCCCCTCCTGTGGCAAGCGCTCCCTGAGAGCCCCTCGTGAGACAGTGACCCCAGGCCTGTGACCCTCACTGAGGGGAAGGGCGAGCAGGTGGGGGCATCACCCACCAGACAAGCATGTCAGGGACCCTGTCCTCAGCGCTCGCATCCCATACCCGCTTCCGGGGCCACGGGGCTTAATTCTTAATTCTAGGACAGCACCTGCACACTGCTGCCCACCTCCCACTGCTGCCCACGGGCATCTGGGCCCCTGCCTCCTCCCTGGCCCATCTCCCTTCCCCACAGGCCCTGCCTGGAGCACTCCGCGGCCCCCCTCATGGGCGCAATCCCTGCCGTCCCATTGGTGGCAGGTGCCCAGGTGTCCGCTAAGCAGGAATTCCTGGTCCGAGTGGCATCCAGGCCCCTGTGGGAGGGGAAGGGCCTGGGTCCCACTTTGCGGCTCCTGAGACCCAGTCCTGGCTCCCACCCAGGGGACAAGGGGATGGCTGGCCTGCCGGGCACTGGCCAGTGGGGGGAGGGGAGGAGGGGCAGCACAGGGCCTGGGGCCTCCCGGCACCCACGGGGGGGAGGGGCAAGAGCAACAATTACTGGAAAGGCAAAAGCTGTTGTTTCCTTGTTGAGTAAATATTTGTGGAAACCCCAGGAGGCGGCTGGCGGGAGAGCAGGCCCTCCACGGCGCCCCCGCCCCGCCGGCAGCCCAGGCTCAGCAGGGCCCTCGGTGCGCTCGCTCGCGGGCCGCCCATCTGGGCCGGGCGCGGCCCCTGCACCCAGCCCCGCTTTGTTTTGCGTATTATCGACTGTGCACAAAGTGCCTGAGTGCTTCACTCCTGGACGGGCCATTACGGCCCTCTCGAGTGTGAAATGCAATTTACCTGAAATAAAGCCCAATTATGGAATTAGCTAATTAAAGCCGCAGTGAAGGCTGGGCCGGCCGGCCGGGCGCTCAATGCCCGCCAGTGCCCGCGGTCGGAGGGAACAGATGGCGCCCCAGCCCGCCGCGCGGCCGCATTCCTTCACTCTGCCCCCGATAACTGACTTACACAGCACACGGCCATCTGGTGTATGACACGTCCTGTGTGCCCCGGACAATGGCCCAGCAGACCTCTCCGGGAGAGGGCCGTCGCCTGGGCAACGGTGGCATGTGCAGCCCAGGCCCACTACCGGCCCCGCCCCCGGCCCCTTTGTGGGCCCCGCCCCCAGCCCCTTTGTGGGCCCCGCCGGGCTGCCTGGCCGCTCCATGAGTATTTGTCCCCAGCGTCCGGCCTTTGTCTCCAAATTGGGCTTCCTTGTTGGGGTCCTTGGTGTCCAATGGGTGCCAGGAGCATCTGCTGGGGTAACAGGGTAGGGGCAGGGGAGCCTGCCCTGCCCGCTTCCTGCACCACCCCTGCTCATGCCCCTGCTCTCATCGGCGCCCTCTGGAGCTGGGCAGAAGGACGGCATCTGGAGGGCGCCAGGCTCAGCCATGGGGGCCAGTCTCTGAGGCCAGCGTCCGCCCAACCTGAGGTTCTCCCAGTCTTGGGCCAGGGAGCCAGCCCACACTCCCACCCTCTCCCCCATCTGTGAAATGAAGACCAGAGAGCTGCTCCAAGGGGTGTTGGGGAGGGGCTGATGGACATAAGACGGAAGGTCCAGGGCCAGGTCAGGCACACAGCAGGTGCTTAATTAAGGCAGCCAGACAGACAGGCCAGAAACCTGGTTCTAGAGTCTGTCTCCTCACTGCACCCCCACTGCCTGGCCCATATGACCCCTCAGAGCAACTTCCTGCCCCCTTCTATGTCCAGCCACCCTCTCCAAGCGCCCTCTCAGAGCCAAGGCAAGCTGTCCACCACCCGCTGTCCTGGGCCCAAGTCATATGCTCCCTGTATCTTAGGGGCCCCGAGCTGCCAGCAGGCACAGCCCACCTGCTGACACCCCTGTTCCGCTCAGGAGCATTTTAGCTGGCAGCGCCCCCTCCACTAAGCAGGGCCCAGGAGCGTGCCCTGCAGAAGGGCTGTGCTGGGGCTTACAGGCCCCAAGCGGAGGCAGAGCCCAGGGCCGCCCGGCACAGGGCCCGGGCCCACCAGGGGCTCAGGGAGTGCTGGTTAAATTAAGGAATAAAATCGGGGTTTGGAAAGAGGCTCCCGGCACTGCTGGGGCTGCAGGCCTGCCTGACCCAGGCAGGGCACCACCAGGCGGTGCCAGGTGATTATGCTCTGGGGGTTGGCCAGCCTGTTCCCCGAAAGAGGGGACTTGGTGTGCGTTTTGACTACGGTGGCCAGACAGCTGGCAAAAGGCAGATGTGGGCCAGGTTCCTGGGACAGGCCCCAAACACATCCCCAAGCCAGCATCCACCGGCAGGATCTGCTGGGCTGCCGGCAGGGCGGACACCCCCTTCCTGACATGTAGCCAGACCCTGATGTGGGAGGCCCTTCCTAGCTCCCCAGAAACCTGCCCTCCCCAAACCCGTCTTCATCCCAGGGCCACCCTCAGGGTCCTGGACCCCTGTGGCTCACTGGGGATCTGAAAGGGGGTCTGCCTCTCCATTCTCAGCCCCCAGCATCACCCCCTCTTTGCTCTGGCCCTGTGATGTGGCCCCAGGGGGCTGGGGAGCTGGGGGAGCAGGCCTGACGCAGTCAGCCATGCAGCCGGGCCGAGAGCATGCTCACTGCCACCAGAGCTAGGCAAGTAAGAGTTCAGTTTCCACTGACCTCTGAGCGCCAGGGACCAGGGGCCAGGCCCTCTGGAAGCAGACAGCCCCCACCTGCGCCCTTTCCAACCTCATTGTGTAGCAGAACCTCGGTGGGCAGGCAGAGGGCCCCACAGCCGGGCAGCATGGGAGCCCAGGAGCAGGCGCCCTCTGACCACATCAACCAGCTGCCATGTTTTCACTTGCTCGAAGGTGGGGAGCTGCCTCCCTCCAGCTCCAGCAGACCAGGCCTGGGCAGAGGGCGGGAGAGAGGCTCTTGGCAGCAGCCAAAGACATTGGTCTGAAGAAGGGTCTTCTCAGATGGGGGTCCTGGCCAGGTGTGCCCCATCCCCAGGCCAGGACACCAGCCCCTCCCTGCCTGATCTCAGGTGTTAGTTGAGTGGCAGGAGGTGGCAGGTCCACTCTGAACCCCAGATCCACTTCTCTCAGCAGGTGCCTCTGTGACCTGTTGGCCTGATCTCGTTTTTTGCCCCGCCCCAGCACCCCTGTGAAGTACCCAAGCCTCATGCAGGCCTCCATCCCGGGGCCCACCCCTGCAGCACCCAGAGGGGCAGGTCTGCCCTTAATTCCCAGAACCATGCGCATCTGCCCCCCTTATCCCGAGCCTAGGTTTCACACACATTGGGGCAGGGGCCGCTCGGCCTGAGGAGGCCCAGAGCCAGCCCAGGACAAACGCCCACGGCAGGCCTGGCACACCCAGGCGTTCCTGGTGGTCCCGGGCCACAGGGACGGGGAGTGTGGAGACTGAGTTGACAGCTTGCCACTCGGACACTTTCAAGACTCCCACCTGCCAGGGACTCTGGAAGACCCCCCACCTTCTCCACCCCAACCCAGCCCCCTCCACACTCTGCCTGGGAAAATTCTCTCTGGGTTTTCAGCCAGTAAGAAGCGTGTGACCTCTAAGAGCAACATCCAAGTAGGAGGCACAAGCTGCTTGGATCAGTCCCGCCGGCAGCCTCGCCCTCCTGCCCAGCCCATGGCCCCAGGAAGCTGGTGGCAGCAGCAGAACATACGGTGAGGGGTGATGGGGTGCTCATGGGGTACACTGATTGTGCTGAGGGGAGGGAGATGCTTGGAGCAGAGGCCTCAGGGCATGTGGGTCCTCCCACTTGGCGCAGATGGGAAAACCGAGGCCCAGGGCAGGGCGAGCCCAATGCAGCACCTGTCTGGGTGAATTTGCACTGGAAAAGGCCTCAGAGACAAAAGAGGGCTTCCAATGGGAGAGAAGTCTGTTGCTGGGCCAGGAAGCCAGAGGGCAAGGATGGACTGACTGAAACAAACAGCTGGACTTCTCGGATTGGATCGTGGTGCTGGAGAGGCCAGATCCGAGGAAAACATGTGCAAAATTCCCAGGCGGAGTGAACAGAGCTCCTCTGCCAGTCCATTTGGGCCAAGGAGCCAGGAAATACTATGCCTGCCCAATGCAGCCGGGTGCAAGTAGTCCATCAGGACACGTCCACTGGCTCCAACAAGGCTGCCATTGCACATGCCATGCAGAATTCCCAACTCCCCGTTGGATCTTCAGGAAACTCTGTTACAAACATGATTACTGATTCAATCCATCAAACCCCACTGAATTCCTTTTGGTTGCTTCTTGGCTGTGTCCCTCCCCACCGCCCACTCCCTAAACACGCGCGTGCGCGCGCGCACACACACACATACACGGCGCAAGTATGTTCCTATCCTGGCTCAGTCACTCTCCGGCTGTGCATATTTGGACAGGGCCCCTAACCTCTCTGAGCTTCAGCTGGTCATTGCAGCCTCAGCTTCATAGAGTTGCCGGAAAGGGTGCTAAGCACAAGCAAGGACCGGAAGAAAGCCACAGCAGCCTCGAACCAGGCACCCGCGACAGTGCGCGCTGAAGTCAGGGAGAGACATGCACGTTAACTGCTCTCTTTAGCCCAGGGATGTGTCTTTATATGTAACTGCAACACAAAACTGTCCCCGATGTGGGACTCTCAACAGCA